CCCATTCCCTACAGGTTCCGAAGTTCCGTCCGTCTCAATTTACTTTTCCTTCATGTCGCCCATTCTCTGGCCCATTCTCTAAAGGTTCCAGAGTTCCGTCTGTCTCAATTTACTTTTCCTAAATGTCACCCATTCTCTAAAGGTTCAATTTACTTTTCCTTCATGTCGCCCATTCTCTAAAGGTTCAATTTACTTTTCCTTCCGCTCATTCTCTAAAGGTTCAATTTACTTTTCCTTCATGTCGCCCATTCTCTCGCCCATTCTCTGAAGGTTCCAGAGTTCCGTCCGTCTCAATTTACTTTTCCTTCATGTCACACATTCTTTAAAGGTTCCAGAGTTCCGTCTCAATTTACTTTTCCTTCATGTCGCCCTTTAGTTTTCCTTAATGTCGCCCATTCTCTAAAGGTTCAATTTACTTTTCCTTCATGTCGCTCATTCTCTCGCCCATTCTCTAAAGGTTCCAGAGTTCGCCCTTTAGTTTTCCTTCATGTCGCCCATTCTCTAAAAGTTCAATTTACTTTTCCTTTATGTCGCCCATTCTCTAAAGGTTCAATTTACTTTTCCTTCATGTCGCCCATTCTCACGCCCATTCTCTAAAGGTTCCAGGAGTTCCGTCTCAATTTACTTTTCGTTCATGTCGCCCTTTAGTTTTCCTTCATGTCGCCCATTCCCTCGTCCATTCTCTAAAGGTTCCAGAGTTCCGTCCGTCTCAATTTACTTTTCCTTCATGTCACCCATTCTCTAAAGGTTCCGGAGTTCCTTTTGCCCATTCTCTCACCCATTCTCCAAAGGTTCCAGAATTCCATCCGTCTCAATTTACTTTTCCTTCATGTCACCCGTTCTCTAAAGGTTCCGGAGTTCCGTCTCCGTTCGTCTCAATTTACTTTTCCTTCATGTCACCCATTCTCTAATGGTCCGGAGTTCCTGTCGCCCATTCTCTCGCCCATTCTCTAAAGGTTCCAGAGTTCCGTCCGGTCTCAATTTACTTTTCCTTCATGTCACCCATTCTCTAAAGGTTCCGGAGTTTCGTCTCAATTTACTTTTCCTTCATGTCGCCCATTCTCTAAATGTTCAATTTACTTTTCCTTCATGTCACCCATTCTCTAAAGGTTCCGGAGTTCCTGTCGCCCATTCTCTCACCCATTCTCTAAAGGTTCCATAGTTCCGTCCGTCTCAATTTACTTTTCCTTCATGTCACCCATTCTCTAAAGGTTCCGGAGTTCCGTCTCCGTCCGTCTCAATTTACTTTTCCTTCATGTCACCCATTCTCTAAAGGTTCCAGAGTTCCATCCATCTCAATTTAATTTTCCTTCATGTCACCTATTCTCTAAAGGTTCCGGAGTTCCGTCCGTCTCAATTTAATTTTCCTTCATGTCACCCATTCTCTCGCCCATTCTCTAAAGGTTTCGGAGTTCCGTCCGTCTCAATTTACTTCTCCTTCATGTCACCCATTCTCTCGCCCATTCTCTACAGGTTTCAGAGTTCCGTCCGTCTCAATTTACTTTTCCTTCATGTCACCCATTCTCTCGCCCATTCTCTAAAGGTTCCACAGTTCCGTTCATCTCAATTTACTTTTCCGTCATGTCACCCATTCTCTCGCCCATTCTCTAAAGGTTCCGGTCTCAATTTACTTTTCCATCATGCCATCCATTCTCTAAAGGTTCCGTAGTTCCGTCTGTCTCAATTTACGTTTCCTTCATGTCTCGCCCATTCTCTAAAGGTTCCATTCAGAGTTCCGTCCCATTCTCTCGCCCATTCTCTAAAGGGTCTCAATTTACTTTTCCTTCATGTCACCCATTCTCTCGCCCATTCTCTAAAGGATCCAGAGTTCCGTCCGTCTCAATTTACTTGTCCGTCATGTCACCCATTCTCTCGCCCATTCTCTAAAGGTTCCGATCTCAATTTACTTGTCCGTCATGTCACCCATTCTCTCGCCCATTCTCTAAAGGTTCCGATCTCAATTTACTTTTCCTTCATGTCACCCATTCTCTCGCCCATTCTCTCAAGGTTCCGGAGTTCCGTCCGTCTCAATTTACTTTTCCTTCATGTCTCGCCCATTCTCTAAAGGTTCCAT